AAAGGGTCTTTTCGCTGAATATTGTGTTCGTAATATTTATTAATTAGCACGCTTGGCTGATGTACACGGTGAAAGCGTTTCTTTGTTAATATATAGAAAAAATGCTACAGAGTGGCAGGTAAGAGATACTCATTATTTAAAACGGTGAAACAGTGCAAAAGTTTAAATTCTAATTGTATGAATAAAGCTGAATTAGCAAAAATGATCTAGCCTGATCAACTCATACCACTTGGTCAAAGAGAAGTGTATAGTGGGAAAACAGATGTTAACGGTCACAGTTGGGAAAAGAGAACATTATCTTGCTTAGCTACGAAAAGATAACAACGAATCAGTGAGGAGTGCAATGAGTGAACATATATTCAACACTGGTCACTCAGTATGCAGGGAAAACACATTCAAAGTTATCTACAAGGTCGAAATAAGCCTCCTAAAAACGGCAAGCTTCCGTATACTTTGCATTGCCGAGGCCTTAGCGATCTGGATAGAAAACCCTGATCTATGTACACAGAATAAACTTCTAGATCCCCTCCTTCTACCTTGGATATTATTATTAAAAGCTCAGCTGTTGCCAATATTATGTTACTAACGCTACTTTGTGCATGTTATTTATCACCATTTCATTACTTAACCTTCTATTTACTCTCTTCACCTGCTACATAATTCACTTTGATACTTGTCTCCAGTATATATCATTAACATCCGATTTTTGTGAATATTTTCATATTACGCATCCCTAGTCGAAACTTACTAATCTTCAGCCCCATCCCCCTTGCAATTCTGTTTATTCATCACATATTTTTTTGGAAATGTTGTGAAGACGTAAACAATAACTCGAATTTTTATTCTTATTTGACAAACCTAGTATACCCACATAAAAAGCAGTTATATATATAACTGTGATTATACAGGTGAGTGAATTGACTCGCCAAAAAGAGACTCTTCGGTCAACTGTTTGTTCTTATTTCCATGTCAGGATGGGTGTATTACGTGAATTAAACATTGTGTTGAGAAACCGCAATAACCTAGTATTAGACATATTGGAAATTAACTGAAATTTCCAAAACAAAGATAAAATAAACCATATATGTCCAAACCAAGTTCACTTTCAACAGTTTGAAAAAATTTGGGCATTGGGTATACGCCAACAGCTAACAATGATCATTTCTTAGACTTAATACAGAAGGCAATGCAAATAAATGAAAGAATAAACGCTAGGCATTTAGCTTTCAAGACTAATCACATCTGCACCATAAGTTTAACTAAAGACCGGAAGCGGAAATAAGGTGAAATCCCTATTCAGTGTCGAAAAAAACTCCCTTTTATAGGAATTCATAAACACGTATATCATAAAAAAAATCATTTTTTATCAATCACACTCATCAAATACGTCTAATGCAGCTGTTTAGGGAAAATTAGTTTAAGAGACTTAGCTATCAACGCAAGTATAGCTACTATGTATAATTCCATAAATGTGGACTGATTATAAACAAAAACGTTTGTTTAAAATGCCATCCAGCACACAATACTTTTACGTTGTGTGGTCAGTATGACGAACGAATTTATATAGAATTATAGCTATTATTCTAAATTTCAACTAAATACAATAAATAAAATATTGATAATAGCTCCACTTCACTTACAGGTGTGACAGGTGCATTTTACCTGAAAATCGACATTCTGATCCAAAGATATGCCTCACAGTTCCATGAACACTACTGTTATATTGTAAATTTGTCTCGTACATTTCAATTTTCTGATTTATAATTTTTAGCCTAAATAATATGCCTGCAGTGTGCCTAAAAATCAGGAGAGATGCCAACATCCTAATGCTGTTTAGTACCTAATAGTCAAAGTACATTCCCTTTAACTTCCAAGTCAAAACATTGAAATTACGAACCTTTGACGATAAATGGTGAACAGATCAACTGATATTCTTGCATCTGCATCTCAGAAGGTTATTCCATAACATGCACATGAATAATCTAAATTAACATATGGCGAACCATTAATTCATTATAGTTTAAGTCTGTTTGATCTTCTAGGGTTTTAAATGCGAAAATAAACTTCCTTGGTGTTATGCTTTTTTAAAATTTATTTGTGTATTGAATATTTGAAGTTGAATATAAATTGAAAAATAAGATATTCACTATCGAAAACTTTAAAATAATTATTTTATTGATTACTTTGGATTCCGATTGTTAAATTTACGTTTTCGATTATAGACAATTTACTCATATTTTCAAGTGCTGGTTTGCATGGATTTGATTGGTCCAAAATTAGACCACGAGCTGACATCAATCAGAGAACCGCTGAAAAACAGGGAGTGCCGGACAGCTGTTTCATTCTAGTTTGTAACTCTTCATCAGAACGCATCAATAATCTAACAGGGGAAATAGAAACTCAAGATTTTCAGGTTATGAGAAGAACGTGTTGACTTGTCGGGTCATCAAGAGTGAATCCAGTGACCCACGAATTACAACTTCCGCTAGTTCGTTGAAGAGTCCCAGAGTTGAAGAGTTCGACTATCCAGTACTACCTAGTTCTTACTGGTTCTCTAACTGATGTTAGCTAGTGGAATGGCTTAAAACCAGTCAAATCCCTGGAAACCATCACTGAAGTATTAATCTGACACTCACTAGTAATTGATTACAAAATGAATCTGCATGAAGTTCTAGTGAGAAATTGTAACCAGTGGTGTTGACCAAGTGGGATGTGAGGACATACCTTTCTTTCAAAAAAGACCTGATTTTTAACCGAATTATTTGTGCCAACATAAGTGAATAATAAAATTGTTCTTCACATAATAATATCACTACAGTAGCACCAGTTAATGATTGCATCTAATAAATTGATCAAGTTAGTCATTCCTTTAAATATTACAGCTACGTTAAAGATACTGTAGAAGTTTTAATATAAATACTGAATAAAGCGTTTCTCGCAATGTTTGAAAATATACTCTTTAGAGTGGATTTCGCTCGAAATGAATTGAAATTGATGGCTTCAAAAAAAATACTTATTGAAGAAAAATAGGTTTATAAGTTTAGACTTATGATGTCTAAAATAAGGTGAAATCTTAAACATCCAGTGTAAGGTTTTCAAAGCGGAAAAATAAGACTTTATGTAGATGTCTCAAGGATACATGTAAATTATTATAGAGTTGTTTTACTCTGTTACACATCCTCATGACAAATAAAGTTGGCCGTATTATTTAGAGAAAAAGTTTTTAGTATAGACTTAGACCAAAATTTGGAAAATAAATCATAACGTTAAGTTGCATATTCACTCACCAGTGCTCAATCTATAAACGACTACTTAGTCAATATAGGGAGACCTCTGATGTTCGTTCTCAATGAGTGGCATCAGTTTACCGTCTTCTTGTGTTCTATTTCACTTATTTATCTGATAAATGCTATACTCATGTGCGTTCAAATGAACCTTAGGTTATTTTAAATATTATCAAAGTAAAAACATCGGTTTCATTAAGAGCAAAACATCTGTGATGTGTAATAAATTGCATGGAGGATTTCATCATGAGCTGACATCAGTTAGAGAACCATGCAATCAGACAAAAATTCCCTACAAAACCATTACTTGAAAATGTAATAAATTCTCAAGCGAAATATTTACGCACTTTGTGGAATATCAGTCTTGCTAGTGAGATAAGGCCCAGAAGTGCTTAATCTTCTGGTAAAAAATAGACCTTCCACTGTCTTACCGTCAGGAATCTGTTAGATGTCTGAAATTAGTAAGTTAGGTGGTACATATCGCCTTTCAGAACATTATATCTCAGTGGTATGATTACAAATTACTTTTTGAAATATACTTTAAAGTCACCTAAATTATTTGTTTCAGAAATTCGTATTTGGCCAAACATTCTTTAGTTCTAAGTTCTGAACTGTAAATCGTACATCCAAACAGTAAATTAGTTACCAATCACTACTTACCTTGATGGCTTCATAATTTCCTTTGACTGCAGCACGATGAATTGGTGTCATACTGTCTGAGGCACGATAATCTAGATGAGCTCCTCCAGCTACCAGAGCCATTATCATTTCATATGGTTTCTCTAACTGTACAGCTGAAGTCAGTGGGGTTTCTATCAACAGAATTGTAAAATGGACAATGGTATATAGCATAAAATGTTTTGAAATGAACTGCGATTCAAGTAAATAACTTAAAGAAGTGTAAGTAGTCGTAAGTTTGTTCCATGAGAGTCTCGTTTATTAACATTAACTCAGAAACTGGGTAATTGACAACCAGTTTAGTGATATATCAAGAAGTGTTGCTGAAACTGATTGCTGGTTTATTTTAACTAATAGTAATGCTAATAATGACCCACTTGGACAAATTCATTTCAATATGCATCTTCTCCTTAATAGAGTGCAAAGATAATATAATACCATGAAGTAGAAATCCAGTGAAATGTATGCGTAAAACATTTTTCTAAATTACTGAAGCATAGTGGGAAAAACAGTTTTAACCTTTCGTTTCAGATGTGTTTCAACCGAGATGATAAATATGACTTATATAATGGGTGATGTTTAAAGGTAAAATGAAAATTTGTTTCCAGTTTAGATTATTGGTCCCACAAAATCCTCGTTAGCCATTTAGACTACAAAGTGATGGAAATAACAATATTTATTTGGGACTTAGCTGAAATAAACTTTCAAGTTTTAGGCTGTAGGCATTTGATTGTGTTTACGGTCAGTTCTTCAGATAAGCTTCTTCTATTTATCCATAATTCATAAAACTAAACATACGAAACTGTTTTGACCTAGAGTATATACATGTATATATTCATCCAGCACGTAGAGGACTATCACCTTTGCATGACTGATATAGTTGACTGTATGAAGTAATGAACAGCAATTTTACATTGTGCTAATTAATAAGAATGCTGGATGATTTTTGTCGTTTGTGTTACTTCTGGATAACCAGCTGTAATCTCATGTGTAATCCACTTAAATTCATTCTGGTTACCGAAAATTTCATAAAACGTAGATGGTAAGTTTTTGTACTGGCTTTAATTTAGTGTTAGTCATGAGAAGAAACGTCAGTGTATTGGCTTCCAAGTAATGATGCTTACAACTGTAAAAGCTAGAAGAAAGTGGAATCAAATAATAAAACATCACTGCATAATTTGAGTATCAGTGAGAACACCATCACCCACTGAGATATGCTAGCATCCATGTGACGTGTCTCCAATAGAACTATGTGACATCTTTGAATAAGGACCGTTGCGTTGAAAAAAGCGACGTCAAAATATACAGTAGCTTAAATAATATGGACTAACAAAATCAATGATAATGTATTAGCTATTGGTAGCCTGTTGCACCAGTTTTCTTGGCTGAAAGTCTTCCGTTCCAAAAAATTTCGAAGCATGTGTGAGGATAACAGTGGTATACTGTTTATTTCCGTTTCACGATAACGGCTCCCGGAGGCAAATAGCACTTTACAAAGTTGTCAGTTTAATTTCGTCCATGCACTTATCGTTTTTATATGCAAAAAAAGAAAGATAACTTATCGACTAGATAAATTTCAGTGAAGGTAGTGACTTTAGGATGCTTGGATGCATACTGTAATCAGTTTTCTTCCCAGGAAGTATTCCCTAACGATTTCATCACTTATTTCGATTTTTCATGAAATAGTGTTGAACACCAGCTCAAGTGCGTTATGTTGTGACATTGGTCTACTGATGTATATTCTACGCATTGAACATAAGCTTATAACTGTCTTGGACTCTTTTGCGTTGTCTATGTTATAAAACGCCGTTTTCGCTTCAGAACTTTAAGCAGTTCAGAAAGCAGTGACTGCATTATAAGAGTGACTGATAATATGAATAGTAGTATATAGCGTAAAAAAACAATATTCGGTTGTTGAAGATCCTGCGCAAGTAGGTAGAAATATAAAATATCAGGTAGTTTAGTCAGCATTCAGCACATGAAGACATTTTGACATTCGAAATAGAGGTGGCATTTGTAAACTGTAACTTCAGTGACTAACATTGTTTTTTTTTTGAGGGAACATCACCTGTTGCTTCCTACACTGTTCAATTACTGACTCCTTTAATCAAGAGCAGGGAACGGAACACGTGTATGAAATCTCTAAAATCGAGAACAATGTTCACTAATTTTGGATAACTCATTGACTCACATGAAAAACCATGGATGTCATTTTGACTGAGACAATGTAAAAATCTTAGTCAGAAGAAACACAACAGGCTGCAGGGAATTTCTGGAGGCCTGGTACTCAAATCAGTTTACCATTTATGGATATTATGATACAGCCCAAATTTATGGATCATTCGAAACAGGTCACATGAACGATAGGTCAACCATCAGATCAACGAGGAGATCAATATGAATACAAATGGATACAATCATAAAGAAATCTACTGGAACAATGATCACAATGAAGGTCACAAGGAAAGACAAATATTCCATACGTCAAGGAATCCTTGAGAGAATTCCCACTGAATTTGTGACTAAAGATATTGTACAGGAAGATGAGGAAAGCTTCACAGTCAAACTCTCCACTGATGAGAACACAGCGATTACATCCACCTGAGCTACAAATTTTTTTCATCATTTTAAAATATTTTGAGTAATACTCTACTTCCCGAATCTCACAACTGCATTTTGTAATTAATCATATTATTAATAATCAATAAAAGTCTCAAATAGCCCATTTAAACTACTTTTTATAATTAACAGGGACGTTTCTGCTAAGTATTGTATGCACATCTAAACTGTTTATTTCCGTATCAACTAGCATTCATGAGTTGCATGTCTAAACAGGATTATTGTTAATTCCGGCAAATGTTGAAATTAACTAATCAGTCAACTAGAGTGTACGTTCTTGTAAGTTGTTTTCCCCTAAATATAATAGTTCTGCTAATCAAATAATCGTTCGTTCCTTTTTTTAACTAGAAACGGATATTTTTTCCCACTAGCTATCTAAAGATAGTGCACTACTTATGAAAAAAATTAGGAAAAGATAAATTCTACCTTTCCCAATATCTTCCAATTAGAAATGTATGCACTTAAGGAATTCTATATTCAAGCTGTATTTCCATCAGTATATATGTAAGTGTATGTGAGTCATTTGTTTACAAGATGATAGAAGGTAAGATAAAAAATTAAGTGATATAAAAATTCTAGTCCCTGGATTAGATGGAGAACAAGTCACCTTGTAAACTCAGCCGAAATTCTCCTCCTTCAGTCTGATACTGACTCCGCATGAAGTATGTCTATAAACATTTCCATTTGTACACATTTAGGTACGTATGTACATATATGCCTAAAATTCATCATGCACTGGTAATTCAAACATCTGATACAATCACTTATCAGTGTTAGCATTTCACTCAACCAATTGATACATCTAAAGTAATTTGCTGAAAAATCACAACTTTAGAAAGAATTTCCCCTAAAATCTAACATGAAGTATCTACAATAAATACTAAAAATAGCCCAACTGCAAACTTTTCACGTTTTAAGCGGAAAATCTTACTCTAAATGAAGTATTTTACAAGCCGTTGTCTACACGTAACTTCTAATACACTTATAATTACCGCACCTTTACCGCTGCCGTGCAACTGGAAATAACCGACAACATGAAACTGACAAATGATAAGTAAGCGGTTGATTGACACATCTTTCGCAGAGAGTATTTAAATGAATATAATTGAGTATTTTCGTGGTCTGCGAATTGGCAAAGAGTGAATTTTTCTGTGGAAAGGCTTAACCCAAAATGTCACCAGCCCTTAGTTATTTATTCTTAGTATCATTTGAACCCCAACTAGAGAGTTTCAGTCTGCCTGCTTGCCTCAAAATAACAGTTTTGTTCCGGTAACCCATAACTCTTTACCAACCTAATTCATGAAGGCAGCAACACGTGTTCTAACCAGTGCACTTGATAAAGCTCCATAACCTTGACAATTTCTCGGCACTCTTATACCTAATAAAGCTCACATTCATTCGGAATGCAGTTATTGGGTGTAAAAGTAAAGATCACTAAAATTCACCGATGCGTGCAATAATCATTCCCTATTTCCACACTAATCCATGCAGGCAGCACACAAACGAATGCCAGCTGATATTAGATCAAGAAGACAGGTTTCGCTCTTTAAACGGCTAGTCAATAACACTTAACTGAATAATCCCCTGACAGCTGTTGCGTAGACTGTGCTGATTTACTATGTTGGTCAGGTGGATTGAAAAGTTTAATTACCCTTGGTTGGGCCTCAGATATGCAATACGCATCCTAGAGCCTTAGATGACGGAGTTTTCTGACTTGTAATAGAATTTAAGCTTTTAGGAAAAACTAAGAAACATTATCAGGGGAATGATAATTAGTGGAAGCAGATAGCAGAGTGAGGTTGAAAGGTTAGATGGCAACCTTGTCGAGTGAAAAAAGCTTAGCTACCCGATGACTCTCGATACTATGGAATAGGGCTTCTTCCCTGAGTTGTTTTTATTCCTTCACGTTCCCAGTGGAACATAGGGCTTCAAGCTAGAGACGTGGAGTTTCTGTAGCAGTGTTAATTTTACAGGATGGGGTTGCTAGCCTCATGCCCAACCTTTCCTCTTCTCCAATTAATGCTGGCTTGGTGAGGTAAAGGAGTGCGTCGGCCGGGAATCGAACCCCGGACCATGTCCATGGTCGGTGAGCGTCCTATCTGCTATGCCACTGACGCAAAAGGAGTGCGTCGGCCGAGGATCGAACCCCGGCGAGCGTCCTAACCTCTATGCCACCTAAAATAAAATAATTTTAGTCTGATTTAACTGCAGAACCAAGAGACAACTGATAATTGCCTGACATCCTCTGCTGTATCGCAAGTTATGAACTCACATAAGACAAGTCAAGATGTAAAACAAATATAGACGACCCCTCCAAGAAGATAGGCATCATACGTAGTTCTCTTGCTGCCTCACGAAAATCTCTTACTACTCTCCCGCCACAGCATGATTTCATCCTCAAACTCTTATTATGATGTAACTGATCTACAATATGATACCGACTTTACCGGCCGACCTTCCTAACATGGTGGAACACGTCAAGTCTCTGCGAATACCAGCCTGATAACTTCTTCAAAGAAACACGTATTCTCCCCAATTAGGTAAATAAGTCCTACTACAAATAGTTTAAAATTGATTTGGGCTAATACTAAAATCTCTCCAATTAGACTGAATACTTATTTTAAGGTTGTGCTAATATGGCAGCAGTTTTCATCTGTTTCTAACAACAAAATCCACTGTAGTTGGTGGTTGTAGTAATGAAGATGTTTTTTGTCTCATTTTGAACTTCACATACTCCTTTCAGAGCAGAATAGAGGTCCTTATCCTAGATATTGTGTGAAAAAGTTCTATTTTACCTGTTTATATCACACAGTGGTTTTTGTCCACCACTCAAAAACATGTATCAATAATAAAAACAATATATTTACCGCCATTTTGTTTCCACTGAAAATTTGGATCCAGTCCTTTATTCAACCATTTGCCAACTTTATCGACATCTGCCATTTTGACATTCTCCATAAACTGACGAAAATTTGCCTTTATGGAACAAATTAAAAGACAGTGGAAGTGGTTACTAAACAAAAATTTGGTATGTGAGCTAAGAACAACGTGACAAGAATTAAATTAATAATCCATTTTTCTTTTATTTCTGCCTTACCGAAGTCCTCTACTTAGAAATTGTAAAAAGTAAAAATGATACAGATGCTAACTATAAGTTTATATTAACAATGATCTGTATAGATAAATCAACTTAAATGACTTTAGTAATTAATCTTAGTTTGCGTCCGTGATGATAGGCTTGAAACTGTGACTGTACACTTTCTCTATGTTATTCATTCTTAACCTATGCAGTTGTTTTTCTTTTTTTTTTTTTTGAATAATTGTCTCGGTAGATGTCCAAAGCAGAATAAGTAGTCAATCATTTACAGTGAACTTCAAAATTAAAAATCCACGTCCACTAGGTTGGACACAATAAGATATTTATAAAAACTCATGATTTGGGTACAACTGTGCTTCTCAAAATAACAGTAAAATCCCGGGAATCGAAACCATTTATTACCAAATACAAATCTTCCCGCTTACTTATCAAAAGATTTGTCTCATGAATGCTGAGTATATAGTATGATTATAAGCAGCCTCATGAAGGTTGCAGCTTTACCTCTTGAATAAATCAATTAAAGCACTCTGTAAAAAGATACGGAATCATTTTACATTACCTTAATTCATAAACTCAGTTACGATCAGGGTCTATTTTTGTACAATTTAAAAAAAGATGAATTGGTCTAGAAAGGCGAGATGTCGTGTAAACTGGGATATTTTATTCTTTGACATAGTTAATGTCTTGAAAGACTGATGACAAATTTTCACCAATAAGATTCTGCTTAGCCAGGAGTCAGAACATTGTCTATCACAAACATTTTGTTTCAGGAAGCCTCTAATCTGATGTAGATTGAAAATATTCTGAACTAACTTTCGGAATCAATATTATGAATTACATAAAAAACAACTTTAGTTGCTAGGCAATGAAGGCTATCCAAGATTGTATTGGACGCATCAGGAAACAAATTTCTATAGTCACTCTGAGTGGATTTTGTTAAGTCTAGGATGCCTAGAAAACAAAAACATGGACTTTTTAAGCCATTCTATTCAAACAGCTGAAAAATACCATTGCATTACATAATGAAAGCATTTAACATTGATAAAAGAGGTACAGGAAGTAAAACAAAATCAGGTATCGTAAGTAGAATTAATTTCATGTTAATTTGTTGAGTTGTAATAAAACCCATTTACTTCTCACTGGACATCAGTTTCTGAAACAACCAGAACGACAGAGGATAATTTCAAAGCCAAGCAACAATCAATGACAATTTAAGAGGGCATCCCCATGTCTCGTTTTGATGTTTGACTAGAGACTTAAAGGTATGGTACTGAAAGAATGAAGCATTCTCAGAAACTTCCTCCAACATACTATCAGTGTTGTTTTTCAAAACAGTCTAATGAATATTCTTGTTTGTGAATTATTATTTCGCCATTAATTCACTGAGCAGCTGGTGAATGGCTATGAAACATTATCCTCTAGACTGAGTAACTTTCTTTTTTGTTGTTTTATATTTTAAGAATGTTTTACCAATATATCATACACCAGTTAACGGCGAGAGTGGAAAGTTAACTAACATTTTTCCGTCGCAGTGCGATAAGTTATTCCATTTTATCGTTACCATGTGATAATGCAGTGGTGCCAGAAAGCAAAAGACATCTCTACATTTATGACTTGCTTCTAATTCGTTTTTAAGTAGTCCTTGTGAAATAATGAGTCGCCGTAATCAAGTATCAAGTATGTAAGCAAACAAAATCAAATGACAGTCGCAATATTTAACAGTGAAAACCATTTATTTAATACCAGTTACAGAAATCTAACTCACTAGGTGAGTGGTCTTAAGTCTGACCTTATATGAGATTATGAGTGCACATTACTAAAGGCACACGAAGTATAAAGAAGGTGTCTTTTTAAAAGATTTTTAACTGTCAACTACCTTTTATCATGAGTTAAAACTGCCATTAATCAGGAAGCTAATTTCGGCTAATTCACTGTTCAAAACTTACTTCTAATTTATGACAATAGCATAAAACTTAACTTGACATATTAAGTTCTCAAACAAACTATATATTATTGAGCCAAACAAATATACTTCGAAGTTCACTATAAGTCATTTGTAGCTTCTCAGGAAAAGAATGTTTCCTAGCTGTTCTATTACATCATAAAAAATGGTTCTTTTATCGGATATGATTATCTCAGTTGCCCATACAACACCGATTCTGTGGTGAACTACCATGTGTACTCGAATTTTAGATGTTTTTACATTAATAACTAAAGATTCAAAGTGCTTTCTTTAACTTTTTATAAATTAGTTATTGGTTTTACAGAAGTACCTAAGGATACAAATCACTAATGGTAAGTAAATAGGCTAGCATCGCTATAAATACGATTACTTTAACAAATAAAAGATATTAGTGATAGCAGTGCATTGTGGGTGAATACCTCGTAGTAGCTTCTAAGTTCATCACTATTGTCGACTATTGCTCTTAATGTTTTTGCAGAATGAGATTGGACCATCATTTGTTTTGATGCTTTCTCTTTAACCGCGTACAATTAATTTAAGTGACCTATAAGGATATTATGATTTCTCTTTGTTTTTTAATTATATGTTTAAGAAACTTTAATTCTCAGGCTTTGTTAGTACTGAATTAGAGTACAAATACTCTAAGATCAGCCATCTATTATTTGCATCTAATTACACATATGATTATGTAAGTCATTATTTAATACATGACCATAACAGGAGCAACGGTGAAAAAAAGAAAGAAATACTAATATTATAGTGAAAACCAACTGCCTAAATAGTATGGGAAGTCAAAGTGATTGTTAAATCTGGCAATGGAAAGAAACTAACTAAAGAGGTATCTAGTTAGTGCGGATGTAATAAGTTAAAACGGGACAAACAACTTTAGTAGTACACTGTTTTGGGTAAAATACCTTGGAAATAGAGCAAGCATTTATTTACGTTTCACTGTATACAGTGAAGCAAGTAAACAAGTCAAACAGGTAATCAGTCAGGGAGACGTATGATAAATTGAATTTACTTCCGTGTTTTAACAGATCAGGAACTATTTCCTCTTGTCATCAAACATCCAATCAGAATATCTGCGTTGCACAGACTGATGTGCTTGCTAGTATTTTGACATTTACTAAACACTTGACATTTACTTTGTAACTAAATTTGCTGAAACTTTCATTTCCTACTCACTTAGGCTATATGGATATGTTATGACATATTTGTCTCTCTTTTTCAAAGGACACCAGTTTATTAACGATACCTTATCTGCATACGGAGAAACGGTACCAGTCACGCTATGTGATATTAAGAGGTAAACTAAACCCAGTGAGACGCGTAGCAGAAGTCTTAGTCTAGAATGGAATAGACATTAAAATCCAAAATAATCTGTATTAGGTCTTATGTTTGTACCTTTTTTACATCCCTTTGTGACAAGAACACAAGAGAAGGAAGACTGGGTTTCTTTGTTTTGTAAATTGTAGAACCTAGATATTTATGCGGCTACATAAGGACTCAGTACACAACTGAAAAAAAACACCACGTTTACATCAAACAGACGAAAACAGTTCAACAAAAACAAAAATAAAGTGGAATATGTGGTACGCTTCATTTAGTTCACACACACACACACAAATTAATTTGAAAATAATTCTGAATTCTGTACTTTTTACAAAGCACATAGAAAGAAAAATATTTTTAGTTATTGAGGACTTACATTCCTTGTTAGGTTTTAATTATCAAAACATTAAAATAAAATCTTTTCTATGCTTCAATTATGTCACTTCTCTATAGCAAAATAGGTGAAAAGTTGACGTGCCGTAAAGTCGCATTCTACAGTCTTTTTATTTTTAAAAGTAAATGCAGTCTTGCCAACTAGATACAGAGTAATTCACATAAACTGAAGATGGAATGACCAACATATGGTGAACGCACAAAATCGACAAAATTACAATAAACCATCCAAAGTTATACATATAATAACTCCATGGAGTGTTGAAGACCATTCATAAAACAAAATAACAGATCACAATGATGAATCTTTCCGTGAAACTGCACGTTTACTTTGTCACATCCTAAAGTTATCCATCATACATGTGATGCATGATGAGACGACCATCTGCTATTCAGTATTCATTGAATAAGTGTTTAAAATGCAACTACGCATCACTGTTTTCCACTCTAAAAAGTCGGATTATTCAAAAACTTTCATTTTGTAAGAAGACAAAAAATAGTGATTTCAGGTCCTCAGATGACCATAAACAATCAGATTGCATTACTCCTAAATGGACTTCAGTGTCTAAATAATCCCCTGTTTTACTGAAACTGTTAAGCAGATAGGCATAGTTCATAGACAGCAGGCTCCTCTAATTAAATAACACCATCAAGCTGTAAGCCTAGGGATGATTAACTTCTGAGAAACTGAGAATGGCAGTAAATGCCGTTAACATACACATTACAAATTCTATTGTACAACTGTATTTTCATGCACATGCCTAAATTAAACAACAGCTTTTATCTGAATGTAAACTGTCATTTTCACTATATAAGTTTCCGATTTGATGTGCACTAAATATAGCTTTCAACCTTCTGTTCTTCAGCCAGTCAGAAGCAACTGATGCAGACTGAACGACTATCTTCGCTTTATTGCTTGTAGTTAAATACCGGATAAATGAAAACCCTTTGTAGCTAATACTCTTGGTCGTTTTATTGATCATTATCAACATAAAATCCTAAATTATTTGGTCGGGATTCAAGTTGTGACTCTTCATACGTCCATATCAAATAACTGATAGCAGAAACGAAGACAAAGAAACGACAACACTAAAGTCAACGATTTTTTAAGTCTTCATAACAAGCTAAAAGAAGGTAAAGCAATAAAGAGTACCCAATATAGAACCAGTCAACCCTTATTCTCACACAATG